AATATAAGACAATTATATGCTTTCAACATGCTCACATATTCTGACAAACTTCTAGATAGATCTGTGCTCCTATTTGTGGGAGCGAAACTGATTGCGAAATATAAGATATAATGTTTTACAGAAGTTAAGTTGTATATATTGAACCATGGAAATGCTGGCATAGATTAATACGCTTTCGTGGCGCATTATCATTGTTTACATCTATATTTCTATGGTATTAGTGACTTATTTATTTGATATCACTTAAGTCGTTTAACTGTTTGCTTGCTATTTCGTGCGTTTTATTGTAATTGTTACACCGCCAGATACATTGTATATGAAATTGTAAATCTCTCTGTATGAACTACCTCAATGAAAATCCAAGTATACATCATACTAGTACCCAAACTGCAGTATCTAGTCTTATATTAAGCATTTTTATGTTTGAAAAACTTTGGATTAATATTTGGTGCCTTTGGTATTAGTATATGCGATACTTTTAAGTCTTCACTTAGCAATGTAGTATTCTTGAAATGTTTTCATAAAATGATAAAATTAAAGATCGCAAGGATTATTGAGTTATTGCATGAACTGTGTTATTATAAAATATATTTTCTTAACAAATGAGCTTGAAAACATTAAAAACCCTCTAGTTACGAAGATATGTTGAATAACCATTAACATCTTTGCGGTCACCATTAAATATGGCAATCAAACGACCACGATCTGGACCACGTGACCTCCTTTCCTATATTCTCCTAAAGATGCCTAATACTCGTAATACTCTGTTTTTAAACTGATGCCACGTATAAGTTCACACGTAACGTTAGTGGCTGGTCCTAGTTCTTGGAAGATTTGCAACGTTATTTCGATTTTGTGGTAATATTAGCAAAACCTGACTTGGTTCGTGCTATGCAAAAAAAAGGTGAAATAAGCTTTAATAATGTAGAATCGCCTGCAAACTGTTGAATAACCGTTTTACAACCTGGCGGCCATTTTTAGATATGTTGGCCGAACAGTCACGGTGGCGTGGTTTTTATACTCCTATAAGTGCTAAAATTGTAAGCAGATGTAAGGGTACACATGACCTTTGTGGCTACTCCTGGACTATAATCCCTCCATATGATTTTCAGAAACGAAAACCGAGCCACGCCCGTATACCAGTAGGAACAAAGAAAAACGGTTGAAAACTGATTCGAACGACGGGAAAGTTCTAACGCGTATACGCGGCTTGTGGGTCCCATCTGTGTACTTAACAACGTCAAACAAACATGTTTTCCCTCAGGGGGGACGGGTAGTCGTTCCCGGTATCACGAACTGTCGAAACTTGCCCTAATGTTGACTGATCGCCGTGGTTTATGAGCGCTTGTTTTTCATACTGCATTGAGAGAGGACCTTGGCTGTATTTCAAACTTGTTCGAAAATCTTTTGTTCGGTCATTTATTCATGCAAAAATTTATTTATGTTGGATATGCTTATATGGTGATACAGCCTAACATTAGCCAACGAAAATGTCTACAATCATTTGTGTTAGGGCTTCTGGAGTTATGCGAACCCTTCATTCTTGGCCCCTTTTTTGCTGATAGTAAAACAAGTGATTTTAGTGGGCTATATTGCCAAAATATTAAGTTCATATGTGAAACTGTTTTGAGGCTATGTGATTTTTGGTTCATGTATGTCAAGTATTTTAGGAGAAATCGATTTGGTTGAGCAAAGGACAGTAAAAAATGTCTGCCAAGGAGAAACATATAACAATATTGTGGCAAGAGTTCAGGTTCTTATGATGCTGTCGTAGAAATTTCCAGTATGGGAAGACATCTACTTTTGTCTGTTATCAAGCAAATATTATGCTGTGTACCGTTTTACAGTACAAATTCTAATTTATTACTGCTTTTATCCATTTTAATTCCGCGCTCGATGTCTACCGGCTCGACTGAGTTTAGACTGTGACTAACTGCTTCCGTCATCATCTGGTCCGGTATTTATCCACCTAACGACGTGTAGGGAAAAGTTCTAGTGTTTGCTAAGCAGAGTCGTTTACTTCCATGGAAGTTGGTGCCTCCAGATGGAACTCGGTTTTTCTTGAATCTCGACCGCCGCTCACACGTGGTCGCATAACTGGTTGCCTAAACATCGACTCTGCAGGCCACCCCTCGCTGCTCAAGGTCCCAGCTATACAAAGGTGTTACAATATTATAAATGTGATTGTGTAACCAGTTTGTCAGCATAACCTCTAAACCTCAATACGAAGAGACGTAAACGTACTAATTGATACACGAGTAAGATTATAGGCATGGTTTTAGCTGCGCACTCAGCGTCAATTTTACAATCAATTGTTGTGGCAAGTCCAAAATCTCCTTCTTCAGCGTCAAGCCGGCAACAGCGTGCTCAGCCACAATAACCCCACTCAACCTCTGACCGTCAAGCGATACAGACATTTTATTTTGCACCTGCTGTTACCCGCGACTTCGTCGACTTGCAACTGTTACTAACACAGAACGTTGTTTTCAAGAAATGCTACGAACTTCCGATGACGTTTTGTATTAGTAAATTGACAGCCAACTTGCATGCTTGGGAAATTAGGTTACCTTAGTACTGGCGTCGTCTACACGTCCTACTTTTAAAAACGCGGACCAGAAAGCTAGTAACTACATATAACGAAATAGTTGATTCAAAATCATCACTCTATAAGATGGCGGTATTCGGATATCTCCCATAGGCAACGGGCTAGACTGTGGTCCCTACTACCAACAAGGGATGCTTCTATCTATATATAGTTATAAATGCTACGAGACTTCTAGGTCTATGTGTGCATCTTATCAGCAATCATACGCTCACATATGCCTGGGATAAGTCCAGAACGTAATATTTACCTTCTGATTAAAACGGAGCCTTTGCGTGATTTGAAGTGGCCAAGATTAATTACTCTCTGCATATCGTCCATCTGCTGACGTTGTGAAGACATCATAAATATCCAGAAGTAATAGGCCAGTAAGATGATTCACGGCCTCTTATAGTCACTAATCATAATTAAGGACAGTGTGTGTTAGTGGAAATGAAGAATTATAGTTTCAATTTCTGTGCAGACCTTCCCGTTTACAAAAGCGCTTATCGCAAGTTATCACGCGACACGTGTAGCATATCGAAGTAGGGATGTGCCGGGTAATAGATTAGCTTTGTTCAGATTGGTCACTGTACTAGGCCAGGAAAATTAGCTAAAATGTGTCATAGTATGGATGTGGCAGATAATAGATTAGCTGAGCCGAAATTGGTCACTGGGTTGGAAACGATCCTAGTCTACTTTCCATAAATTGGAAAAATGTATTGTATTTTTTTAATTAGATATGGCATCCTATTATGTTCATTACGAAAAGTTTGTCAAATGTTTGTTCACCTTTCGATGTCCGTTAATTTTTTGCTTTTTGCTTTAATCTTTTCGTGGTTTCACTTGAAGTTTTGAAAAGTTGACATCCTTACAGATCTCCAACATATCATATTATATACTTATATATATATATATATATAGAGAGAAAATAATCATGCGGAGAAATGTACATAACAAAAAATAGGAAAATAATGGGCAAAATCCGCAAAAAGAAGGAAAGTGGATTCGAGCAGAAAATAGGATAGGTAACCCGAGCGATACGTATTTCTGCTGGTTGGCTTCATCAGGCCCGAAATGAATGCACATATGCAACTACAAAAGTAGATACACATGCTCATACATCTAACCGGCCGCGTGGTTGTGGTTAGATGTCACCTTGGAAATTCGAGGTCTTCTAGCCATTTTATACTACAATGTGTAGGTTGGCTCTTGTGGACTTCGTGTGTGATTTTTTTTCCTCATCATCTTTGTAGTTGCATATGCGCATTCATTTAGGGCCTGATGAAGCAAACCAGCAGAAATACGTATCGCTCGTGTTACCTATCCTATTTTCTGCTCGAATCCACTTTCCTTCTTTTGCGGATTTTGCCCATTATTTTCCTTATATATACATATATATATATATATATATATATATGTATATATATATATGTATATATATGTATATATATATATGATTATTGATTTTGTGTCAAGCATCAATACATTCAACCTCCGGAAAAAGATTAAAGCAGACATTTACAATAAACATATAATGAAGGTGAAATGCTAGACATAAGTATTAAGAAAAAGACAGCCCCTTTATGTGATTTCTCTGTGTGTAATACAAGCAGCCACACTTCAATATTTTTCAGATATTGCCAAAATTTATATTACAAAAAGTAGAAGGAACGTTTTCGTATTTCTGTCTCTCAAGCAAGGTTCATAGAAATGAATACTAGAAAATATTACGCTAGCGTGTAGGCTATTATGTAAGAATTTGTACAAAATGCATAAAGCATTACATTTTCACGTTAGATCCGGATATTTTAATTTAAATATAAAAGTAAGATGCTCGTAAGGTATATCCCTGTGAGGATAAGTACAGTCAGTCTTATGAGCGAGCAGTTTCAAAAAGCGTTTGACAGTCAGAAAGCACCTCATCAGCTAAAGTATAGGCGGAGGCAAATTGACTCTTCTTTCTGGTAAAACTAATTACGCTACACTTTTTTACAGTCAAAGCAAGTTTGCCTACTTTACACCAATTCTGAATATTATCCAATTCCATCTGTAAGTCCTCCATACTTGTAATAAATAGTAAAATTTTCAAACTGTCAGTATAAAGAAGTGTGTTTCAACTGAGAGTATCACATAAGATGTTTATAAATAACTTGAACAGTAATGGGCCAAGATTTGACCTTGTGGCATCTCCGATGTGCCAGCAAGATTGCATCAAATGGTGATTATGAAATGCGAGCTTAACCAGATGGTTATGATATCAAGCCATACCGTCATTGTTTTCGATATCGAAACGTTTTGTCCATAGTAGTCATCACGTCATTAATATCGCGCATTTAGGGCCAGTACAACATCTAAAAACACGCTCAATTCTGCGCGCTTTTGACATTGCGCTTTTGCCATCGCAACAAAGGCGGAAATGATCATCCCTGAAATTTATGATATACCCTCCTTACACAGGTTTCTGGATGCTCGGGAAGGTGAACGTGTGCAGTTCATTCTCGCTGCAACCAAAAGTCATAATATTGAAATGTGATTTTGTATTAATGTTTTTTTTTGTTGTTGCAGATGACGATTCAGCGACAGTGAACGGCATCATAACCAGCGATGGACTATTCGAAGGAACAGTAACGACATCTTCAGAAGAATATCACATAGAGCCAGTCAACAGATACGTCAGTCCTGGAATGAGAGAACCGACATTCATTCCATAGTTTATAAGAATTCTGATGTCCAAGATCCGCGAAAAGGTTGGTATATTGTTTCTGTTTTAGATACATCTACGGTTTTTTATTCTTAATAGTCCCTTAAATTCATACAGACCATAAAACAATAAGATGAAGATTTTATAAAATCTGCACCGAAGACACTTCTGTGGAGTTGGAGACCTTTAAGAGCTGCCAGTGGAAATTGTTATTCTCAAACATATTCTGAAAAATACTTGTGTATCCTAAGCAATACTGTATAGTTGGCTACAGAGCTGTTATGTCTGTTTACATTTTTTCTGCCTCATTACATTAGTACTTTACTATTTGTCCAAATTATCCACTTGGCAAAGATCGACCAGATAGGAAGTAATGCTTGCCGCTGCTGTTCACAAGGTGCGTGTTTATGAGCGCTTTGTATGGGACTGGCGACACCCCAAACTGCCGCGCTGCAAAACGTAATATAATGCTGAACGCGCGTTTTTCTACCGCGCGACCATTTAACGTCCGTGTGTGTCGGCAGTTAGGCGTGCATCGAAACGCGTCCCGCAGCATGTAGCCGCGCATTTCAGGTGCGGCGTTTTAACGTTTGCCTGCAGCACCATTTAGAGATGGCAGGTGCGTTCACAGTTGTAGTCAGAATATCAGAAAATGAGGAATTCATTAGAATACCTTCTTTGCGAATTTCTTGAGCTCTATCAAGGCTGTAACTAACTCACTGTGATGAGAGTTGGTGGAAAATATATTTTGGAGTCTCGAGCGGGCTTATGATACTTTTTTATACCGAAGCAGCCGCGTAAGCAGAAGCCTCAGGTAGATTGATCCACAATCTCAATACCCTAGGACAGGGTTTCTCAACCTTTTTTTGTTGAGGCTCCCTGGACTATAACTTATATTTTCAAGTCCCACTTTTCTTTTTCAATAAATACAAAAAAACGCACATTATACAGGTACAATGATTTTTATTTTAATTCTAGTAAAGAAACTTTAAAAGTTTAAAAAAACTAATAAAAGTTTTTTATCGAAAAACTTGAATGAAGTTGGTTGATTCTAGGTCGTTTTTGTCAGAGCTATCATCAGGTCGCTATCGACATCAAGATGATTTCGCTGTTTAGATTTAATTAAAACTAGAGCAGAAAAGCCTGTCTCATATAAGTAAGTTGAAGGAAAAGGAACTAGTATTCGTAAAGCAAGGAAGGCACGTGTCGAATTAACAGGCAATCTTTTGATCCAAAATTTCCCCAATGTTAAAAGGTGGAAGTCATCTTTAATGGACGAATCAGCCTTCATTTCTAGAAATTCTTCCTGAACTTCTTCTGGTAATTGTGACACATCGATAACAAATGTGTTTCTTGTCATGTGTCATATTGGTGACTCTGAATTGATGTTTCGATAGTGTCGGCGAAATTCGTCTTCCAGCGCTTGCAAATGAGGTTTTGTCAGCTTTTAAATTTGCGTCCAGTATGTTATTTTTAATTGCTTCGAACACCAGAGAAAAAGAAATAACCTTTTCAGAAGACACTTTTTGATTCCAAGTTGAAGCTTTGATATGTCATCTTTGAACATTGTCAAGAAATTGTGTTTTTCTTTCGACTCAAAAAAAATACCTCTTCTTTCAATTCATAAAGGCGAGCCAACATGTTGCCTTTGGACAGCCAGCGTACTTCTGTATGGATCAGAAGAACTTTGTGATCAGAATCGAGATTCTCGCAATGTAAAGTAAATAACCGACTGTTCAAGCGCTGCTCTTGATGTACTTTACAATCCTTATAGCCGAGTCCAAAGTCTGGCGTAATTTCTGTGGTCATGTTTTGGTAGCCAAAGCTTTCCGATGAATAACACAATGTGTACTAACCATTTCGGGATTTTTTCCTTGAGCTTTCTAGCTAAGCTCGATCGTCACCTATAATTGCAGGTGCGCCATCTGTATAAAGTCCAATGAGTGCTTTCCAATCCAAATAATTTTTCTCAAAATAATTTGATATTGAATTAAATATATCTTCAGATTTAGTACCTGCTGTCAAAGATTGGAAGTACAAAATCTCTTCTTGAATGATATCTCCGCCTATGTAACTATTAACTGTGCACAAATTAACGATGTCGGTGGATTCATCGCAACTAATGGCAACAAATATCGATAATTTTACTTTGTTAATTATTTGTGACTTTATGTCTGCTGCAATGTCATCGATTCTATGCTTGACTGTGTTATTCGAAAGAGAAATAGACTTCATTTTTTGCTCTGCACCTTCTCCCAAATTATCTGGGTGGCTTTTAGGACACATGGTTTTATTAATTCTTCACCGATAGTATGAGGTTTCCTTTGCTTTGCTATCATAAAAGCTATTTCAAATGAAGCTTTGAGATGCTGCGATACACCTGTGTAATAACTTCCTGATCTATCCAGTCTCATCCACTTGAGTGATTCTGCTTCAGAAAAAAAACTATTTCGTCTTCAAAACCAGAGTAGGATGTTTGTTGCTTCAAATGCCTTTCAGGCGATTGGGCCTCATGCTATCATTACGCAAAACTTTCATACATATCACACACTGAGGCAATTGTAACTCGTCTTTTTCTATGAAGGTAAATCCAAACTTAACGTAATCTTCGGAAACTTCTTTTTTTCGCTGCCATTTTGCACCTATAACAATAAAACAAATAAGTAATAAATAAATAAGCAAAATACCTACATTTAATTATTAATTATATGCCCATCATTTTATCGTAATGTATACAACTGTATACTGGCCACCGGGAGATTTATATTTCTGTAGGCAGGTTGACGTTGTAATAGTAATTTTAAATACATTTGGAATCAATATTAGGTACTTATAGTTCGTCGTTTCAAAATTATTTCGCCATGTTGGTTTGATTGTGATGTGCTAAAGAAGTCCCAATGGCCGATCTATGAACGCGTCTCCACTCAATCAACAATTTAGTAAATTGAATAAAAATGTTAACTGAAGTTTGTAAATACACAAACTTACCTTTTAACAGTGAGACACAATAATTTGACACACTCAAACAGATTTCTAAACAAAACATGTACATGAAACGTCAAATTTTAGCAAGTTTGTGGGATTGAATGTCACAGGTGCTCATCCGCGTCTGGTCGGTACGCCCGGTTTTGAAACAGTGGTTGACAGAATAAGTGAATTATTTAATTCTAATTTTATGCGTGTAAGTTAAACATTACATTGTTTGTGATGTTATTTGTTAATTATGTTTGTTTATTTTTTTTTTGTTTTTTATTTCTAAAATACAAAGCTTGACACTGTTACGATGGGAGACCGAAGCCAGGCGTATCTGTTTGGCAGGCGCAACGCGCGTCGATATAGCGGTTAGTCGAGGAACAGAACCGTCTTTTGGAAGCATTGTTATTCAAATCTCACTCCCTAACGCCCCGCAAGAAAATAAGCATGACATAATAGCGATGTCGCAGACTGTGCTACAACGACTTTTGACATGATTGCATAGTAAAAATTAATCAACAACAGTGTTACAATGGGGGTCGCTTCTTTCCAGGTCAACCATGTGCCTCTCACCGCCTGAGCCTTAAGAACGACCATGGAGAAGATAACCATCTCCGCAACAAACGTTGGCTGCTCGAAGCTGAAGCTAAGCTGCCCTTCGACGATCCTCCCAGCTTCTTTTTTCCTAATCATAACAGAACAAGGCGACCGTTTACATCAATTTTCGATATCAGTCAACCTATCGACGAGGAACTCGAGATGACTGGAGGAAACAGGTGAGAACATCAGATAAATTGCTTTAAGAGTTTGACATTTTACTTCTTCTAATTACATTACTAAATATGAAATCGATTTAAAACTAAATCTATCAGTGATAGAATGTTAGCTACTGGTAGCTGGCTTAAGTAATTATTGCAGCTCCCGACAGATTTTAAAAAGCCAATCAAGCAGCAAATCCAATTTTAGGTTAAATTGAAGCTTTCTATCCATTTTTGACCTACAGGCAGAATCAGTTGTTTCAACAATATTACAGTACACTGTGATTCAGTTTTGTTGGCTTTGCTTCAAGACATTGAGCGCGCTCATCCAGAATAAAGCAGTCCACCGATGCAGTAGTTTTATGCTAAGAAGCAGTAGTCGTCTATTAGCTTTGACATTTCATAAAGTTTAATCAACAAATTATCAAATGTGACCAGCAAAGTGAATACTGCTGTCAAACTGACAAGGTAACTGCTATTCAGCATAAAAGCGCTGCACCGTTGGCCTGCTTTACGTCTACTCAGAGTTGTCTGAGCTTTCCGATATGTTGAAAGCAAATCACCCAAGCTGCTATATGTATAAAATATCACTTATTACCTTATTTCTTGTTCCAGGAGCACGATTGATCTTTCGAACTTAATCTTCCGAAACGTGAACAAACGAGCAACGGTAGACCCAAAGAAAACCACGTGTATGCTGTATCTGCAGGCAGATCACCAGTTTTTCACGAAGTACGGTACTGAAGAGGCTTGCATTGAAGTTATGACCAG